ACACACACACACACACACACACTCATCCCACATCGCTGCTGCAAGGTCACCGAGCCGGACACCCTGCGCTCCATCATCCATCATCCATCCATCCAGTCCACAGGTAAAGTACCGGTTCATGCCTCTTTACGCGCGGCCGGTGATCGGGGAGGACTCACCGGGCTCTCGTGCGGGCTTTGTCGGCTATTGAGGGGACGAGCATGTGCTGCGATGAGTGAGAGATGCGTGAGAGAGTTTGTCTGTGCGGGACGTTTGAATGTGCGTTTCGTGGTGCGTTCGTGTGGAGGCTTCGTTGGGGGAAATGAAAGGGTGGAGATCCACTGAATCGTTGGCGCGTGTCTGCAGGAAGAACCAGTTGGGTGATTTACCACGAACAGTAAAGACGCTCCCGAGTGTGAGCGGCCGGTGCAGCGCGTGTAGGCCCTGGGCTTTGAGACTGGCTTCATCCGGTCCGTATCCTTACATCAGCAGCATCATATGATCAGGCTGCGGTGCTGAGGAACTCTGTTGCATCACTCTCTCAGCCTTGAATGGTTTTCTCATAATATCACATAAAACAGTGTTTAACATCAGTTGTTGGTCGAGGGTGTGATATTCTCCCCTAAGAAGGTTTAGCACAAGCTGAGCCCTCCTCTGATCAGCTGCTGTAAAAATAACTGTCACATTGTGCTGGTTTCTTCTGCAAACCAACACTTCAGGCTGAATAGTGCAGGGAGTGGAGATCAGATGCTGAAATTGAAGAGGAAGTATTTTAAATGGCCTGCCCTGTAACTCTGGCAGAGTTAGGTTACTTAAATGGAGCCATGACATCTCAGGGTTATTATCCATGTGGAGCTTATTAAACTGTGGGTGTGACTTTGATGTAACCAAAATAGTCACGTGACACATACAGTTCCAACAATAAATATGCGTAGTGTGTATTTTTTTTACAAACTGTAAAAACCACCCTGACACCACCTCAACACACAGATCCTTCAGTTGGCTTTGAACTCTTAATAATTAATAATATAGTCCAATTCTCTTTTGAATTATGAAGCTATCCTCTGCAGCTAGTTAGCTTGGCATCAGACAGGAAACAGGAAACTGCCTGCACACACACTGGCATGTTCTACCCCATGTAGTGAATCTTTACTGAAACTGAGTGACAGGTTTTACAGAGGGATGTTGTAACGACATGTCATGTCCTGGTTGGCTGCTGGTTGTATTTACTGTATTGATTTCCACTGTTACTCTCAGGGAAAAAAAGACAGTCCTCTTTGCACTAAAATTTGGGCCTATAGGAAAGTGTCTCTTTATATAGGACATTTCAGAGAAGGATCATTTGTAACTACTGGAAAAATAAAAACACAGTGTTGCGGCTGTTTAAACATTTTAATTGGGGAAAGTGTGATGTTTTGTTGCAATCCAGCTCAGGTTGTTCATGGTGTCCTAAGATCTCGGCTGAAAGGTGAGACGGTTTTTGCAGTTTTCCTTTTTTTGTTTCAGTGTTTTTTCTTGTTTTCCATGTGGACCCGCGTTCAGTTACAAAGTGTCGGTAACTGAAACACTGTGGTTGTCCATACTGTTTGTCAGCAGTGACGCCCTCCAGAATATAAACAGCAACATTTGTGTCAGGCTTTTTATGACCGACCAACACTGGTGTCATTATGTAAGTGTTAATAGTTGAGACTTTGTTGGAATAGAATGTTGTTGTTGATGTTGTGCTGGGATATATACAATATATATATATAACTTCCTCATTTTATATAATGTGTATGACACTAACAATGTGCTCATGTGTAGATTTGGATCAGATTTCAAGATCAGGACCTCCTTCCATGAACACAGAAGTTGATTGTGGACACAAACCTGCTGCTTTGTGCAAACAATGCTGTAGTGAGACAGTAAAAAGCATTGTACTCCAAATGGAGCACACGTTACAGTTAAAAACTTAATTTTGTTTATACTGCAAGAAACTAAACACCCAAAAAAGTTGTCTTTATGACTTGTTTTAATTACCACAATAAAAGCGGTATTAGAAACTCAGTCACTCAACTGTAAAATACTTATACATGGAGGCTAATAGAAGCTGACACACACTCCCATACATTAATTATCGTTGCGAAGGTGCCACACATGAGATCATTTGTAAATTTGTCAAGATCATAAAATGCAAATTTTTTCTAACCTGTGTCTTTGACCTTCATGACGTGTTCGGAGGTGTGCTGCAGAGCTAAGGCGTCTGATTGGTGGTTTGGCTTTAGAAATGTGGGTGCTATCCGCCCACATGACAGCATAAAGTGGATGGACTTTTCTAGAGCGCTGTTGTGTCCACACAGGTGTAGTTTTGTGTAAGTAGTGGGATGATGTATGCTCTCATTTCATGCTGAAGTGATCAAACACAACAAACAAAAGTGGTCCAGTGTTGCTGATCGGGCAAATTATTGTTGGAGTTTTCCACCTTGTTTTAGTGATAAGGTTAGAGGACTGTTTATTTTAATCAAGGCTCTTTCCCAGGAACTTCAGCCCAGGGCCTCACAGTAGACAGGCTGACAATTGAGTAGATAGAGTAAAATGATCTTGGTACATTTTGTGGGAGGTCGCCCTACCTGGTGGTCAGGAAAGCAGATTTGAGAGAACCTTTGTGTTTGTGGTATTTCTCCCTGTCGGTGCTCTAGACCGTGTGTTTACAGGAACACCCTGGTGAGATTAGATGTCACAGTGTGGTTTGGGCGACATGCAAGGAGCTGCTGATTGGGTTAATGATGAACTCTCTCAAAAACAGATTGAGTAGTGTTACTTTAGAGGTTGCCCTAGAGCTAATCTTGCGTTGCCATAACCTTAAATCGGACAAGGGTGGGGCAAGGGAAGGTGAGCTCATGGTCAGCCTGGCAGCCGTTGATGGTAGAGGTCAAGTTTCCTTTCATAGAGTCTTACAGGGCTTCTGGCACCAGTTTATTTGATAGACATTAAACTGGAAACAATGAGTATTTCTGCTGCTCAAGATTTCTAGTAATCTTCTGGGTTTTACAAGAATACCTGCTTGTTCTGTATCTCTGATGTAACTAACCTGTTGTTCTTCATTACAGTTCAGTCCTGCAAGCCTTCAAAAAAAAACAATAAAACATAAGCAACAACAGCCCAACCCTTCCAGTGAAAACTGAAAAGTTACTGACTAAGCAAAGGTCAAAGAAAGCTGTAATATAAGAATATATGTCCCCCTCCCTGCTGCAATGGCCAATGGTTAGGGCCGTTGTGTGTCATAATACAAAGTTGGCTATATAGTATCCTTCCATCACAGGAATTGGAAAGTATTTTGCTTTATTTATAAACAGCAATACCCAAATCCAAGCTGCAGAAACTTAGCAGTGACTCAGCCTTTCTGCATGCATGAGTTGCCTCCAGCCTCTCACCTTGACGGCACCGCCCATAAACGCCTCCTTCACTGAAACACCTGAAATGTAACACTGGGGTCTCCACTGGGTCCTTGTGAGGTCATCTCTTTGTTGACGATACAAAGAATGCAATATTTCAGGCTCTCTACTGAGGTGCTACTGTTAGTGATGTCCTTGGAGACACACACACACACACACACGCTGTTCTTTAGGAGTCCAGTGCTGAGTGACCCAGTCTTATGAGTTTTTGCCACTTGGATGATTTGATTATAGAAACAGTATTTTGGTTCATGCCTCCTCCTAGCAGCTCATTGGCTTAACTTTTCTGTTTCAATGAACTCACCAAGGTGAAGGCAGCTGGTCACTCAGGAACATGTGCCCAGCTCAGTGACAAACAAGGACGTGTGTGTGTGTGCGCATGTTCATTGGTGTGTAAGTTGGTGTTTTACTCATGTTGTGGGGACCTAAAGCTGTTTACATATTCCCATTATGGGGACTTGTCTTTCTTATGAGGACAAAAAATAATTGTCAATTTGCTGGTCAGACAAGCGGTGTAAGAGCTGACTCTGTGTTCTGGTTGCTTGTGGGTTTTTGTCAGTGTTTTTAACAAGTGGACAGCTACATGCCATTACACATGACATTAGAACGTGTCTCCACATATGTGTTGAATGGCAACTTGTGATCAGATCCAACCTCCCCCGTTCTAAATGCACATAATTATGTACGTCATCGCTGTGTAAAGACGAAGTGCGTTATTGTTCTCAGCCAGACTGTCTAGGACAGATGGGTCCATTGTGCATGTGCATGAGAGAGAATTCATTCAATTCATTGAAAAACTGTAGGGGGCCAGAGGTCGTCAGCTGAGTGGGCGGTGCTATATATGTGGACCAGAACACATTTGCGTTCTCACAGCAAATAATATGGTGTCTCAGGTCCGTCCACTACTGAACTCAGAGTTGTCCACATGTGAACAGAACTCAAGATACAGATGTTTGACCAGATATGAACAGGGTCTATGTGAGACTGAAACATTCAGGTAGCAGCGGCCTATACTGGAGCTGCAGATTATGTATTGAGAAAAGAAGGCTTAACACCGGACATCACGTTTTATATAGAAACCGGTAAGTCTGGGGAAGGATAGGGACACACCAAACTTCCTGCAAGTACAAGAAACAGGATCATCCCCCACAGGTAAGTTTAACTGAAACGTCTGCAATCAGTCACCTTAATTGTCGGTGTGGACAGAGGTGTGGCACCCAAGAAACCCGCAGATGACAGTCAAATATTTCCACTCCCCTTGATGTAACCCCATTTCAATTGACTTGGCTCTAACCAGAATTCTTATGAAGTAGCTGGCAGTAGAAGCAGCCTGTGAGTCACTCCCGGACACATGCACGATGAGGATCTCGGAAGTGTTGACATTGTCCAACTGAATTGGAACTTTGCTTTGCTTGACTTCTTACATACTTATATAGTTGATCATAAACCTCATTCGCCAAGCTTGTCTGGATGTTTCCCCTTTTCCCCCTGAACTCATCACTGTTCTTTTATGGTCAATCTGTTTGGAGCTTCATATTCCAACCCATCAATTTAAGCTGCTTATGAGTTCTGAGGCTCCTTTGTGTGTTGTCGTCACGTTCAATCAATCAAAACCAGTATCTACAGCGAGTGCTGCTGCCGACAGCCTGTAATCTGATTAGCATGGATTAAACCCACTATATGGACCTCTGGGAGAAAAAAAAAAGGCATAATCTCTAACTTTGATTGAAGGGCTAATGCAAGGGTGATACACAGAGCATTATATTTACATTCACCAGGCTGGTTTTAGCAAAAT